GGGGGGTCGTCTTATACGCCCAGTCGTCTTATACGCCGGAAAAAACGGTATATGGCAGTGGTAATCTCTCACTTCCATGTCAAAAGGATCAAAATATTCCCTTATTTGGGCGATGGGCGCCTGGTGTCATCCTCTCGCACACAGTTGTTCTGAGATGTCCACACCACTCTCTTGGCTACTGGTGTCGTCCTCTCGCACACAGTTGTTCCGAGATGTCCACACCACTCTCTCCCTTCTCACTGATTGGGGCCTCACAGTGAATCTCTCCAAGTCCATCTTGGAACCGGTCAGAGTGATAGAGTACATCGGCATTTCTCTGGATTCTGTTATGGATTGGGCCTACTTGCCCACCAGAAGGACAGAAGCTCTTTGGGCCCACCTTCACTCTGTTCTCCGCATGGACCATCCTACAGCGAGAGACATTCAATGCCTTCTAGACCTCATAGCCTCAACCACAGTCGTGACCTACTTGGTGTGCCTAAGGGTCCACCCGTTACAAGAATGGTTTCTTTCTGTCTTTGATCATCTCAACAACATACAGTCCAAGAAGCTGACGCTTATTCAACATGTGCATACCTGCCTTCTGTGGTGGTTGGTCCCCAGAAACATCCTCAGAGGAATGCCCTGCCAACCTCTGGAATCTTCCAGGATGGTCACAACAGACACCTCCATGACTGGTTGGGTGGCCAGTCTGCATACAAAGATGCTGGTTCCCTTTAGAAGCGGAGATGCACATCAGTGCTCTGAAGCTCTTGGCTGTCATCAAGGCCTTTCGAGCCTTTGAGTATCACTTCCATCACAGGGTCATCCAAGTTGTAACAGACAATACCACCACAGTCTGTTATATCAACAAACAGGGAGGAACCCATTCCTCTGTGCTCCTCCATCTGGCTATACAGCTCTGGATGTGGTGCCATCGTCATTTGATTCATACGGTGGACATTCATCTGGCTGGCAAGGACAATGTTCTAGCAGACTCTCTCAGCTGAGACAAGGCTCTTCAACACAAATGGACATTATCACAGGAGGCATTTCACCTGATAACATCTCAATGGGGGACACCTTGCCTAGATCTCTTTGTCACTCCAGAGGATGCGCAGTGTCCACTATTCTGCACCAGAGCAGGTCTAGGGACAGACTCCCTAAAACGACTTCATTTTGAGTTGGAGCCATTGTTTCCTTTATACCTTGCCTCCCCTCCTGCTGGTGGTGAGGGTTGTGGCCAAAATGACTGAGGACAGATCCAGTGCAATTCCGGTGGTTTCTTACTGCCTCCTCCACCTGTCCAGGGGCCAGTACCTCAAGTTTCCAAACTAGCCAGACCTTTTCTCTCACTCCAGTGGCTCAGTCCTTCATTTGGACCTATGCAGCCTGCACATGACAGTTTGGAGGATCCAGCCTTGACCTCTCCAGAACTTCTGCGGGTCCTCTCTGCTTCCAGGAAAGACTCTACCAAGAGGTCTTACTCCTACAAATGGAAGCGTTTCTGTGCCTTTGCCGAGGCCAGGGCTGAGCCCTCTTCAC